CCCCCTCCCCGGACCCCTTCCCTCCCCTCTCGGATGCCTGGGGATCCAGACATGAGCGGGAGCCGCAGAGCAGAGGGAAACACGGTGAAACATGCACACGTGAGATAAGAGGGTAAGTGGGCCAGCGAGCCCCGGCCCACCGCTTGTTTTATCAATAAAGTTTTATTGGCACACAGCCACGCCCATCCATGGACGGATCCACTAGGGCTGCTTCTGAGCTACATCTGAATTTGAGTAGCTGTGGCTGAAACTGGCCTACAAAGTGGAAAATATTTACTCTCTAGCCTTTTGTAAGAAAATGGCTCTGCTGGAGGAGCATGCTTTCTAACGGCTCTGTGCAGTTGCTGGTGCTGAATCAGGCCCCCCAAAAATCTGCTGAGTCGTATCTACCAGATGCTGGAATGAGACTGTTTCTCCGTTCCCAAGAGGAAAGAGAGTCCCCGGGCAGCACACGGACCGGGGAAGGAGGGCCGTGTCTGATGCGTTTTACTTTCTGTCTTCCAGGTACGAAGAGGAAAGGCTCAAGGCCAGGAGAGAGAGGTCCGTGCAGAGGGGCTGTCTCACTGGGGCTGAGTCAGGGCTGGGGCTGGGTGGGGCCCACAGTTGGGGGGCAGCTGGTGGCTTCTGCTCAGCAGGGACCGATGACATCCACACACACGGCCGTGTTGAGGGCTTTGAATCGGACGAGGGTTCTAATCCGGTCTCCCCCACTGAATCCCAGAGTGACATTAGGCGAGCAAAAAGTTCAGTTACCGTGAGAAATCAAGACAGTGGGACCCACTTAGCAAAAATGGTGGCTCGTAGTAATCATGATAAAATTAAGTTGTCCCTTGACAGAGGGGACAGAAGCTCCAACCTCACCCCGGACAGACCCAGAAATGCCCCTTCACTAACTTTCTGGCTCAGTTTTCATCCGTGGCATCACCATGAATGGCGGTCACAGGAACCTCGGGAGTATTCCAGTCCCGCCCCACCCCCCAGAGCAGGGCAGGGCCAGGATTCCTGACCGCATCTTACAGCCCGGGGATCCAAGGCTCAGAGAGGGCAAGGCACCTGCCCAAGGCCACACAGCAAGTCTGGGAGAGGGTTGGGGCTTTCTGTCATTGCCAGGCCCTGTGCCTGCCTCAGGGGAAACAGGTGGATAAGAGAGTCGTGGTCCAGAGGGCTCCTCGAATGGCAAAGGAGAGGGACACCTCACCAAGTAAGGAGAGCGGGTCCTGCGGCAGGGTGGGTGACGTGGGCGGATGAGCCACATAAGGAGCAGAGGGTGTGGTAGCCTCGCACCGTGTCCTTCAGTAACGACGAGCCGTGGGCCGCACGGGGGGCCCAGGGCCGGCAGGACGCACCAGCCCAAGCCTTCTCCTCTACCCTCCCTCCCCTCCCCCTCTGCCTTCCATCCTGTCTTTCTCTCTCTTTTAATGTTTTATTGTGGTAAAATACACACAACATAAAATTCACCATCTCTGTCCCTCTGTCTCCCCGGATGGTGCCCACCTCCCCGGCCTCCCAAGCCTCAGCTGTGGAGGGAACAGAGACCGGCCCCGAAAGCCCGAGTCAGGGCACAGGGCGACAGCGTCCGCCCGACGAGGGCCGCGGGACGAGGGCACGAGGTGTCAGGGATGACCAGCTGAGACAAATGTTCAGGGTCTCTCCTCCCCCGTCCTGCCCCCACTCGTGCCCCCTTCCGCCGTCAGTAACCTCCGGGGGATCTCTGCGCCCTCGTCACCCTCGCTGTCTCCCTCTGTCCCCAGCGCCAGGCCGCAGCCAGAGTTCCTCCTGCCCAGGTCCGAGGAGAAGCCAGAGGCGGCGCCGGCGGAGGGCAGGTGGGTGTGCGGGTGACCGTGGGCGAGGCTGCTGAGCCCCCGAACGGCTGGTAAGAGCAACCACAGCGCTGTCATGACGGGGACTGGGAAAGCGGCGGGAGTGGCCAGCGTGATGCCGGCTCCGTCGTGAGTGCTCGGGATCGGGGTCCCTCTTCCCTCCACCCCGGGCCGTCCCCATGGGGACACCGCAGAGGCCAGCAGTTCCATTGAAACCGTCGGGGCGCCTGGCCGGCTCAGTCAGTACACAGTGGGACTCTTGATCTCCGGGCTGTGAGTTCGAGCCCCACGTTGGGCTTAGAGAGGACGTCAAAAAAAATAAAGTTTTTAAAAATAAATAAACAAACTATCAGTTGATAAAACGTAAAAGTCCGCTCCTCTCCGGGGCTCGGCTGCCTGCCCGGGGCCGTGGGCCAAGCCCCTGCGTGGCTGGCCCCAGCCCCCCTCTCTTCTCCCGGGGGGCTTCTTCACGGAACTGAAATTCACATGCAACAAACCGTTTTTTAAGTGCACTTTCCGGGGGCCTTTAGGGCACTGGCAAAGCTGGGCATCCTGCACCACTATCTAGGTCCAGAACGTCACCCCAGAAGGGACCCCATACCCGTTAAGCGTTGTTCCCTCCCCTCCTCCCCTTTTCTTTCTTCACACCCAGCAAGTCCTCTGGCGCCTCGCCCTGGGATGGGTGGAAAACACAGCCCGGCTCCAGCCTTCTCCCCACCACCCACCTCTGCCCCGCCCGGCCCTCCTCCTACATCTGACCCTCGTCATAGCCTCCATCTCCTGCCCTCGCGCTGCCACCGGGAGGCTCGGGCTGCCCGGACCCTGAGCAACCTCGGTGGTCTCGGCCCCTCGTCGCTGGACCCCGCCTGCTCACTGGTTATGCAGCAGACACGGGCCAGCCCTTACTTGTACCAGATGAAGATGAAGCCGTGTCAGCCCTGGTGGGGTTCTCGGCCAGAAGCCAAGGCCCCTCAGATAGACAAATCATGCTAAGACATCTCTCTTCCACAGATCTGCTCCAGGTACAGAAGATCAGGAGACGAGGTGAGTGGGACGCAGAGCCATCTTGGTGCCTGATTTTCCAGATGTCCCACGTGGAGCCCGCCGCATGAGAACCGCCCCACGATCCACTGTCTGGGGAGTCAGAGAGGCATCGGCTACTGGGACTCCAGGGTCTCCTCTGTGGCAGGCAGCCTGTTCTTGCACAACTCCAGGGGGCGCCACTGCCATGAGGCCCCAGAGCTAAGCCACATGGCGGCCCTGACTGAGACGCCGGCCTGGAGCCAGGCCCCGTAAAGCCCGGCTATTTATTTTTATTTTTAATTTTAAGTAGCCTCCATGCCCAACGTGGGGCTTGAACTCGCGACCCTGAGATCAAGAGTCGTGTGCTTTACAGACTGAGCCAGCCAGGGGCCCCCAGCCCGGGCTGGATTACTCAGCCACGGGTACACTGTTTGCCCACGGCCAGTCTCAGGGTCCCCATCTGTTCCAGATGCCAGGAAAAGCCTGTGTGTTGGGGGTCATGGAGACTACCCTCAGGTTCAGGTTTGCTAGACGGACCCACAGAACTCGACAAAGCTGTTGTGCTTACAACTGTGGTTTGTTGGGGTTTGTCAGAGAGACAGCACACACAAGCAGGGGG